CCCCCTTGTCCGTTTTTTTTCGGGGTTGGTGACGGTTGCGTCGACAGGGTCAATCCCTATGGATGTGCATCGCACACCGTTGACTGGGGACCCACATGATGTTGCAGGCCCAACTGCCGCCACCTATTGTTGAGGATCTAGGGACAACGGTACACGCTCCATTGCCTCCACATGCGGCCGATCATCCTTTCGATGTTGACGAGCTCGCAGGATCCGCCGTGCAAGATATCACTGGACTGGACAGTCGTATTTTTCGACTGGATAGTCTTATTTTGTGAGGACCTGCTGAGCACCCTCCCCCCTCCCCGGCAGCAGATTACAACAGTTCCATGGGGCCCTGCGTCACCAATGTCGCCCACTCCATCACGATCAGCATCCACAAGTGGAGTGCTTACATAGCGGCAGAGCCACAAGACGGCACGAGGAGAGGTGACCTCATAAATGCCACCTCCCCCAGAGCCACAGGACGGCACGAGGTGAGGTGACCTCATAATTGCTAACCTCCCCCAAATAGAGTGCAAGACAAAGACACTGTTTCCTCCCAGCGGGGCCGTGCGTCAAAATAGCCAGCGGGATCGACGGGGTAAAGCAGGTTGAGAAAGTGGGACGCGACAGAAATTAGTACCGACCAGCATTTATAAGTGTGGACGGGCATCGCCCTCGACGAGCAGACGAGGGTGACCAAGCACACGGCTCACCAGCAGCCTGGGTTAGATGAGAGAGGATTGTAAATAGGTTGAGGGAGGTCACAGTGGCCGGATGCCAAGGACAGCAGGACGATGTCAGCATGAGGGCCCAGCAGGGGACAGAGAGGAACCGTGCACGCAGCACGAGTTTACAGCAGGCTTTGAGTCTCACAGCGCAAGCCCTGCACGAGCAGACTCCACGGTGGTAACACAGCCGGGTGCATGTCCCGTGCCCGCAGAGGGTGGTACGACCCTCGGGGAGACTTCAGGGCCCGATGGATTGGGTATGCCGAGCGGCCAGACATCATTGCCACGAGCAGGAGGACAGCTCGGGGGAAGAAAGGGTGCTGTGTCACCATTGAGCACGATGATCCTCCGAGCAGGGGGAGGGTGAGGACAACGAGGAGGAGGAGGAGGAGGATGACGTCGACGAGGAGGACAATTCACCCCCCCTTCCACCACGGGTGGGGACAACGCGCGACAGGACTGGCAACTACATGGCCACACAGGGCCAAGGGGAAGAAGTCGACATCCGGTTCATGCCAGAGACAACAGGAAGGCGAAGAGATCACGATGACACTTCGGACGACAGGCGTCACTTCATTTTCCCAACTTTTTTTTTTTTTTTTTGGTGCTACTCAGTGGTTGTGATACTCAGTAGTGTTTTTTTAAAATCATATTAGGATAGACTCGTTAGTTGTACACTACGTAGATGTAGCCCACTCAGTCGGCATCATATACAGTTTCGATTTTTCTTTTTTGGATGTTGTCCTTAGCAGATATTGTGCGACATCATGTTTGTAATTATGCTGATGGAGAGAGATTTTCATACTTGACATCACTTTTGTATTTTGTGCATGCTCGTCTTGTCACTCATTTTCTTTTTTGGTGTTTTTCCCTTTCGTGTCTTTTGCTGTTGTTCTTTATGTACTACGGAATCTCGACCTCTGTGTGGGCTTTTGTTCTGAAGGTGGAACTACAAGGATTCTTTTCGTTAAATTCTTTTTTTCGGTGAAGCAAGCATATGTTTCATTTTGCTGGGGATCGGGGTCAGGGTTTCTGGGATTTCGAGGGTTCTGGGGAATTCTGGGCGCTTGGGGGTATTGGGCGGGGGGTCGGGTCTCTGGGGATGGGTCGGGGTTTTAGGGGGTCAATGGTTTGGGGTGTGCTCTAGGGGTAGGGTACTCAGGGTTCTGGGGGGGTGGGGAGGGGGGTTTGGTTGTTGTGGACAAGGGCCAGGGGGGGGGGGGGGTAGTTGGGGGGATGAGGGGGGTGGGATTTTTTTTATTTTTATTTTTTTAAGCGCGCGGGGGTGGTGCACCACGTGTCCAAACCCCTGCGCACCTCTCGCGTTGTTGCCAAAATGTCGGGAGGCCGCTGTTTTCCAATTTAGCAGGAATTCAACACGGATCTGGGGGATTTAACAGGTTTCAACACCCGTTAAAATGGACCCCTCCCCCGCATTGAAAAGACACTCAGCTCGCTACTCATTCATTTTCTTTTCTTTTCTTTTGCTGTGCAGAGGCCATGCTAATCTTTTCTGTATCATTCCCATTTTAATGGATGTCCTGAAGGACCTCACTACTCATTTCTCTTTCTTGCTTATCTTCTCTTTCTTCTCGTTTTTGCTGCAAACATTTATCCATTCTATACTTGCCGGCGATAAGTAACTGGACTGGTGTCCCCCAAGGGGCAGGGCCCACGAGCACCACATTATATGAACATCATAAGGTTTTCAACCACGTTTGGCAAAGAGGGATGCAGACGGTCCATCAATTAAGTAGGGCTCATGCGAGCCTCAAAAGTTTCAACGCAAAAAAGCAACAGATGAAATGTTTTGGCGGTCCCCCCGACACCGAAAACCCCTAGTCCCTGTGAGTTAGGGCCGGGTTGTACGGAGGCGCAGTGACCATACGGAGGCGCCGGGTTGTACGGAGGCCGACGGGTCCAATCCCGCCATTTTGCAAGCGGCAACTTTGCCGACTTTTTGTGCTCAGAAAAAATCGTCAAAATGTCTGAAAATTTGAGGGTCAGTGGATTAGGTCGTGATCTTTCAGGGAAATGGTACTGGCATAGGGACGGTGAAATATTTGCCGCGCCAATTTGGTTTATTTCCGATTTTTGTCTCAAATTCCATATGGACGGGTCCAATCCCGCCATTTTGCAAGCGGCAACTTTGCCGATTTTTTGTGCTCAGAAAAAAACATCAAAATGTCTGAAAATTTGAGGGTCCGTAGATTAGGTCGTGATCTTTCAGGGAAAAATACCAGAAAAAAAAATAAAATCATTTTGACGGTGAAATATTCGCCGCACCGATTTGGTTTATTTCTGATTTTTGTCGCAAATTCAGTACGGAGGCCCGCCCGTCGTGAAACGGCATTACCGGTACCCCTGAGGTTTTCTGACATCAGGAGGACCGGTTTTCCACGCTGTACTACCGGTACCCGTCGTGAAACGGCGCTACCGGTACCCCTGAGGTTTTCTGACATCAGGAGGACCGGTGGTTTAATCCTGGACAACGAGAATGTCTTTTGTTGATTTTTATAATTGTACTTTCACTGTCGGAGCGTCTTAATACGTTAGGGGGGGAAGTCCAGACGCTCGCACAGTGATTCGTGTGCACATAGAGGCCGCCAAAAAGAAACAAAGCTGTGCGTACTGCCAGTGAAGACTTTCAGAGGACAGCCCGTTGGCTGATGGAAGAACCCATCCTGAAAAAGACGCAACCAATTCGCTGGCTTCCAGTCCCATTGGCTGACGGGAGAACTCAGAGAAGGATTTTGCTTTCTTTAATTTGTAGAAAACGAGTCTCTAAAATCTGGACAAGTTGGAGAACATTATTTCGATGGGAACACAGTGTCACACGCCACTCTAGAAGCATAGGAAACTATGCTGGTGGGGGCCCGGGCCCAGAACAGAATGGGCAGTTTCTTGTGTGTGGAAAAGAAAAATCAGCATATACATGTATGGCTGGACTTCCAGTCTGAGTTTCCGATTGGAATTCAGCATAACGAGTATGCACACAACCGTGTGCACTTTCGAGACCAATTGCCGCTCTAACATCCACAAGGACACCAGAACTTCACCGTGGTTTCCTCTCTTAGCAGGGGCTACATTCCAGGAGAGCCCATGATTCGGTTGAGAGCAGCATACTATTGTTCGAGTCCAAGACAAAGCTGTGGATCATCACAACATCTTTGAACACGGGTTTGTGCACTGATCAGACTGGGCACTGACCTGGTCAGAGCTCCTCCGTTAAGGAGAACGGCTTCACTGGACGGCCACAACTCCGTCACACCAACAGTCAATGGGACATAGCGGCGCACACATCTGGTGCATATAAGCCAGCCCCCTAGCTATGTTCNTTCACTGGACGGCCACAACTCCGTCACACCAACAGTCAATGGGACATAGCGGCGCACACATCTGGTGCATATAAGCCAGCCCCCTAGCTATGTTCTGTGAGAGAGTGGTTTCGACGAGCTTGCCGACAGGCTTCGGTCGGAACTGCTGAGATGTGTCAGGCCCTATCTATCACCTTCGGTACCCTTGTTCTCCTGCAGACTTTTTCTGGATTGCTTTTTGCTTAGAGACGGTTCTTTCCTTGAGACATCCACCACACAGCCCCAAGCAACCTTTCGAGGGCAAAACCCGCAAACATAGCTGGAGAAAACACACGCAAAAGAGAAACAAAGGAATAAGAGAATCTGCTGCCCAACACGAAATCATCCTTAAGGACCCCGTCAGAAACTTGCAAGAGGTAGCGAAAAAGGTACGAAAAACAAAAGGGGAAAAGAGATCAAAACACAAAAACGAAAGCGGAAAAGAGATCAAAACACAAGCACATACACTCGAAGCAGGCACACAAAGCTACAAGCAAAATTCAGGCACAGAACTTTCTCACAACTGGCCCAGCATTCCCTTCCCGATCGATAGCACCAGATAAAAACAAAAAAAGGCATCACAACAGCACAGACCAGGCATAATATAGGCAATGGCAGGGGGGGAAAGAGAGTGAGGCAACGGAAGACGGAAAGACAGAGAGAGAGAAGAAGCGGGAAAGAGTAGGTACATCAAGTGGTTAAACTTCGAGACAAGACAAGAAAAGAGAATGAGACAACAAATGGAAAACATAGGTAGTGGCAGTGGAGACTGAGGGGAGATACAATTAAGAAAACCAAAGAGAAGACACAACGAAAGGCTTACAAATTCAGGAGCAGCAAATGGGTGGTGGTGGGCATCTGTGTTTGTTAAGAGGACCAACAAGCATTATCGCATTACAGGGGCAGTTGTGGAGTGGCTTATGCAGCAGACCTCCCAGTCGAGGTAGCTGCTTGCACTCTCGTAGTCTGTAAGGATAGACACCGTACATTCAAGGAACGGAATCTCCTTGGCCTGGATTGGAGGGAATCGCCGATCCCGCAATGCACTGCAAAAGACGACAACCAAAAGCAGGCACTTCTCAGACTCATTAGGAATCTCTCTCTCTCTCTCTCTCACACACACACACACACACACACACACACAGTCCTTGTTTTCTCCTATATTTCAGTTTCCAACTCCGTGAAGCTCCGAAATTAATTGGAGTGCACTGGGCAAGGGGACGAAAGGGAAGAAGAGAGGGGGGGGGGGGGGGGGGGTTGTATTTGAGGACATGTCACAAGATGCTGAAGACACTCCTCACACTGTGGCCACAGCACGAGTATAACAAAAACATCGGAATAGGAGGAGGAGAGGGGGTGGGGGGGGGGGAAGGGATCAGAAAAAGGCAGAGAGGCGATCTATCACTAACCTACTTGTGCACCATATTGAACGAATTTTGTCATTCATACATTTCGCACGGTTCGTGCACCCACTTACCAGAGTCTAAATTTTGTAACATTACCCTCTGCCCAGGCCACCCTATTCTTGAAACCCCGCAGACATGCATGACTATAAAGTATAACTGCAACAAGACGAGCTATACAATGCACAACCAAGTGGTCTTTCACACCTGGCTGGCCTCCCCATCATGTGATGTTTCATCTCCTCACGCCTTATGGCCAGCGTATGCATTTCACCCTCCAAATGCTAGGTCGGTTGCAAGCGCACCCCCTTCCTTCCCTCAACCCACAGGCAGCCCCAGCTGGACTGAGACTCAGTGAAGAGACATAATTAGGGTCTGTCAACCAAGCACAGCCTTCTTCTCCCTCCTCTTTCCCTACACCATCACAGATCTATCTCCCGAGTCATGCGGAAAATACCTTGGCAACCCCTCTTCTTTGTACACTCCTTGTCACTGTGGCCTTCTTCACTCTCGATCACATCCGCGCCACTGCTTTTCGCCATCTCAGTCTTAACCTTACTCATGCTCTCCCTCACCCAAAGTTAGTATCATGATTACCCCCTTCTCCTCACCATTCTTCACTTTGTCAACCTCTTTCACCATCATACTATCATACTTCAGTGCACATGCCCAAGCTCCCGTCGAGCCCCCTAGGAAGCCCATTGAGCTCCTCTCCTGCAGTTTTCCGCTTCCTTTTCCTCATTTCTCACTTCATATTCGGCCCCTTCTTTGCCATTCTCCTTTGCTTCAACTTGCCCTCTGAATTTTTGCTTCCTCTCGTCCTCCCCTTCCTCCACCTATTCTCAGTTCAGACCAGTCCCATTACTGGTCCCATTACCAGTCCCATTACTCGTCCCATTACCCAAGGCTTTCTCAAGAAGTTCATATTCAAGCCATGACCCTTCACTTCACCACCGCAACGTTTTTAGGCTCTCTGAGTTGAATTGCTATTAGACACTGATGTAGATGGCCAAAGGGCCTTTGTTAAACCACCACTACCTTTCCAAGCTATAGTCCCATTTGGGAAAATGACCTCATCCAAAAAGTTCGGGGGTTCAGTGTAAGGTCTGTAGGAAAGAAAAAAAAAGAAACTATTGGGACCCCGCAGGCCCTCGGTGAGGGAAAAAATCAAATAAAAAACTAACATTGAATCCAACAACATCGTGAGGCCTTCACGGAGGTGGAAGTCACACCAGTGCCTTGAGGAATGTATCTGGCCGCTATGTCTGGAATGTGATTTCGTATGTTTTTGGTTTTGCTTTTCTTGTTCTCTTTTCTTTTTCATGCCCTGCCAACGAGGCAGCGCGGTTTCCACAGGGGGCAGGTAACTGCTTCACTCATGACACACTCACATCAGCACTGTAGCTTCTGTCTCAGACCGCGATGGCAGCATAAGGGAAGTTTTTGTTTTTTTTTTCCTCCATTTGTTTTCATAGGGAAGGCCCTCGTAGAGGTGGAAGTGATACCAATGACTTGAGAAATGTATCCAGCCAGTATGTGTGGATCGTAATTGCTTATATTTCGATTTTTGTTTTCCTTGTTTTCGTTTCTTTCTTGTGCCCTCCCAGTGAGGCGGGGCAGATTCCATAGGGGCCAGGTAACTGCCTCTCTCATGACATACTCACATCAGCACTGTGGCATTTTGTAGACCGCGATAGCAGCATAAGGGAAGTTTCTTTTTCTTTGTTCTTCGTTTGTTTCCAATGAGAACAGACGCCCTCGCTGAGGGCCCGTCTCACCAGCACCTCATACGGCCCTGCCAGTGAGGTGGGGCGGATTCCACACGGGGCAGGTTACTGCCTCACTCATGACATACTCACATCAGCACTGTGGCGTTTTATATCTGACCCCGATAGCAGCATAACGGAAGTTACTTTTTTCTTTGTTCTTCATTTGTTTTCAGCGAGGACAGAGGCCCTTGCTGAGGCACCGTCTCACCAGCACCTCATAGAATGAGAATGTATCTGATGGCTACGACGGCGTTAGGGAAGTTTCTGCTTTTTTTTTTTTTTTTTTTTTTCCTTTTGGGAATGAATTTGGACCTAGTGCTGGGGGTATTCTTGTGTTCTCATTTTTTTTCTTTGGCATATCATTCTTTTCAGTTTTTTTTTTTGCTTTTTTTTTATTTTTTTTTTTTTCCTTTTTTTGGTTCTTTTTCGGATGTAGCTGCCATGAGTACCAGAAAAGAAAATATGACGGGACCCAGGCTCGGCAAAACTTGGTGCACAGTGAAAATCAGGCTAGCTGCAGAATTTTGGAGAATGGGCGTACCCTCTACAAGGAGCAGCAGGAAAACGTGGAGAAGGAGAAGAAAACAACGCTGACCCCAATGGCCCAAGGCCCTTCATCCAGACGAGAGGGGATGAACTAACTTCAGATGCAACAGATCGCAGAAAACCACAGATCAAACCCTGCTGAGTTGGGAATTCCTGGAGAGCAGGGGAACTTGACCCGAGCAGCAGCAGACGGAGGAGGAGGAGGGGGGCCTTCATTAATAGGAGATCATGTACGAGGAGAGCAGGTATGAACTAACGACGGATAACCCAAATAGCAGGTAGTAACTAACCACAGACCACACCCTGCTGGGTCAGGCAATTGCAGATAGCGCGGGCACTTCAAACGCCACATGGAGCCGAGGGTCACACAGGAGGAGGCGGCGGACCAGGAGAACAGCACTAAGAACACCCTATGGGCTGGACTCCCTCTAGCATGGTTGGTGGCCAATGAACCAAACCCAAAGATCATCCAATTGGCTGCTCCCCAGTTCCATCGACACATCCACATCTGATCCAAACTCCAGGAGTCCCAAGAAGCCATGTTCGTATTTTCTCACCCCCCAGCTTCCCCAGCGCCCAGTAGGCCAGAGCTGTTCACAACCCTAGCCTACACTGGTGCATGGCAAGGTCAAATATAAAGTATATAACCAATTCAATTTCTAGTATATACCATATATTGTCACATGAATATCAGAGCACAAATGCGAAAAAAAGAAAAACAGGAAAATTTGAATTCAGTTTTCTATCTTCTTCCTTATAACTCCCCCTATTCAGAACCTCTTGCATACAAGGCCGCCCACATGGATGTAGGTTGAGCGGCGGCTGCCCCCACCCCCGTGTGTCATATGGACCCACTTGCACACAGCCAAAAGGCAAAGAGGCAAGGAAGAGAGGAAGGGAACAGCCAAATAAAACAGAACAGGGGGCAACAAAACAGATCCCAGATGACAAGTCCCACATGCAAGCACCGCCCCTGCCCACAGGCCAAACGACGGGACAAGACCAACCAGGATGCCAAAACATTCTTGTCTGCAAAGAAATCAAAAGAAGTACCAAAAAGAACCCATCCCGGATGACGATTCCCACATACAAGCACCGCCCCACGCTCAAAAGGCCAAACAACGGGAAACAACCAACCAGGATGCCAAGACAATAAAAGAACCCCGGATGACTGGTCCTACATGAAGCACCACTACCTGCTGCAAAATAGACCGAATGATGGGACAATATATCACTGTCAGGGCCGCGGTGGTGATCCCAAAGACCACCATCATTTCCAATCTTTTTGCAGCACTGCGTGCAATTCATGTGCCAGCAGCAGGTTCCCACAGATCTACCCATTCCACAGCCAGTGTTCAGATCTATTACATGACCTTCCTCATTTTTTGTGATTTTCAGTTCTATCCCCGCTTCCTTCCGGTTCCCGCAGATCTACCCATTCCACAGCCAGTGTTCAGATCTATTACGTGACCTTCCTCATTTTTTGTGATTTTCAGTTCTATCCCCGCTTCCTTCCGGTCGGTCTAGCTCGGGCATCGACAGTCTATCTCACTCAAGCCCAGGAAAGAAAGACCTGGAGACCTCAACCGATAAGGGGTCTGGGCTCCAACCAATTCTACAAGGAACCAGAGACCCACACAAGGACCTCATCCGCCGCTTCACCAGTCAAGTCGTATTCTAGAGGAAGATCCAACCATCGAAAAACCATTGGCAAAACATTGCACAGATGTACCAACCAGAAATGAAGTATCCTAAGGGTCTAGCTCAGTCGGTGCACCCACGAGCTGTTGAAATACAGCCCGAAGTTCAAATCCAGTTGCAATCAGATGAGCAGAGTAAAACAATTCTGAATTGCCTGGGGGCAGTCAGTTCAACGATGATATCTCAAGGCTGTAACAAAGAAAGATCTTCTCTTGTCCCATCAGTTTTGCAACAGCCCGTGCAGCACACGGTTTAGCTGACGGCTGCTGACAATAGTTTATGAACCATGCGAGAGGGAGTCCATCCCCTAGGGTATTCTTACTGATGTATCTAAAACCTCTCTGTGTTCCCTTCTCGCCCTTTGTGTGTTTGCTTCCTCCTTATTTTGCTGTGTGTGTGTGTGTGTGTGTGTGTGTGTGTGAGAGAGAGAGAGAGAAGAAGAAGAGCGAAACGAACAGAACACAATAGAGAGAGAGGTTTTAAGTACTTCCTGGCTATAGGTGGAACAAAACACAATAGGGGAGAGTACTTCCTGGTTATAGGTAGGAACAGTCTAATTATATACAAGAATTCGTTAGACACGCAGACAGGCATCCGTCCATACTAAGGGAGAATCCATAGCTCCAGAGCACAAGCAATCCATATCCATCCATATCCATAAATGAGAATTCCTTCCCATTTGTCTATTCAACACGAAATACTTTTTCAGAATTTCATCCCCTTTCCCCCCCCCCTTTCCCCTCTCCTTCCTTTCCTTTTTTGGCCGTCTTTCCATCTATCCATACAGTAAGTACATACATAACAGCAGACACTTTTTGGAAAACAGCTTCCAGCCTGTTACGCGTCTAACTCGTTTTTCCTCCTCTTCTGTCGACCACTGAAAAGAGAACCGACGAAACGAAGGGAGAAACTCACGAGAAAACAAGGGACAAAAGGTGTTGCGGAGGGGAAGGCTGCGCGCCAAGCCTTTGTTGCTAAACACGTGGCACCCTAGGACTCGAGATAGGAAACAGCGTACCTCGTAAGAGCGTAATCCTTGAAGCCTTGCATCACACAACGGGCCTCCAAGGTACCTATACAGCCCCTAAGTCTCGGTTCGCTGCCATTGACAAGCTTCTTCCAGGTGACGAACAAAGGACTGGAAACCCCACAACAGCCAAAACACCACGACGGATAAACCACACACGAATGCAAATGCAAACCCCACACATCGCACCCAAGCATGCACGCACGCACACACGCACACACACTCAAACACATCTCACAGGCACGGGTCCCTCAAATCATAAGTCAAGCATGCCGGGAACAAAACACACACATAGACGACCAAGGCAAAGCACAGGGAAGCTCAAAAGGGAGGATATCATACAGCCTCTCGGTGGCCATCGTCTGCTACACTTCGACGATCACTTCTCGAAATAACCAATACTAGATTGAAAAATACATTTCGATAACTATGACAATAATAAACAAGACTATAAAAGTCTGCTGTAGGCATACACCGTTGGTTGGGGCGTCGTTTTCAAAATATAGCGCTTTTCTAGAAAATCACCCCTCAAAGACCAAAAACCGCTCCACAGTAACTTTCTTGCGTTAAGTGTCAATCAAGCGACATCCGTCGGCGCGTAAGAAACGTCAAAAAAAAAAACGAAGTGGATGGATAATACCCAGCAAGGCATGAAGCAACGATGGCGCTCCTTCGTTTTTTGTTTCTCTGACTTTTTGCAAACAAAAAAAAAAAAAAAATGGAGGAACCAACGATAACGACGGCGCTCTTTTTCTTCTTTTTGGGGGGATGCGAACATGCAAAAGGAGGAAGATGAAGGAAGCAACGATGGCGCCGCCTTATTTTTCCAAACCAAAATGAAAATAAAACACACCTAGGGAGGCGTGTACGTGTGCGACCTGGGCGTGTAGATGTGCGACTGCTGCTCGTACGTCTGCGACCAGTGCGGCAGGAAATTAAAAGGTAGTTTCCTGTCGAACCCTGTCTCTTATACACATCTAGATGTGTATAAGAGACAGGGATAATACCCAGCAAGGCATGAAGCAACGATGGCGCTCCTTCGTTTTTTGTTTCTCTGACTTTTTGCAAACAAAAAAAAAAAAAATTGGAGGAACCAACGATAACGACGGCGCTCTTTTTCTTCTTTTTGGGGGGATGCGAACATGCAAAAGGAGGAAGATGAAGGAAGCAACGATGGCGCCGCCTTATTTTTCCAAACCAAAATGAAAATAAAACACACCTAGGGAGGCGTGTACGTGTGCGACCTGGGCGTGTAGATGTGCGACTGCTGCTCGTACGTCTGCGACCAGTGCGGCAGGTGTGCGTACCAGTTGGGAGACTTTGCTGTGGGCGATTTGGGTCCAAGGTGGAGGTGGTTTGTGGGTACTACTACTTCGGCGGCGGCTTGTGAGTGAATAAATAGACCACTTGGGGGGGAGAGGGCGGAGGGGGGAAGGTCACTACGTTGGCGACTGAAGAGGATGTCGGCTGGGCAGCATGAGGGCGACACACCTGCGGGCGGACGGGCGTGCGAGCGGGCAGGCTGGCGGGCGGGCAATTTGTGGGCGACGCACACAACGACACGAATCATTGTCATCGCTGCATCCACCAGTTGGTGGTTGACGAGAACTGAGAAAGCTTCATATGTGGCTGGCGGCCAGTGTGTGGTGGGGGAGGACATTCAAGTAGAAAACCGAAGCATTTCTTCGATATCACCACCACTCAATCATAGGCTACCACACCCCGCCTGCACAGGGAAAAAAAAAAACACAACCTACGAACAAACGAAGAAACGACACTGTTGTTGTCGACCGTGTCCACCACCCACGTAACAACACACCTACCTACCTACCTACCTACCTACCTACCTACCTACCTATCCAGCTTACCAGCCAACCAGCTACCTAACTCCCCTCCTCAAATACACCACACAGAAAGACGATAACCGAATGTTGTGACGAGAACCCCGCCCTGGACCACCGATTCAATCGTAATGACAACTATGCGCAGTTTATGGAGGACGAAGGGGGGCAATAGGCACGAAGGCGGCCACACCTCCCATCCATTCACTGCTGATCCTAGAGAGCCCACCCAACCCCGTCGAGAACGGATTTGCTATCAGCTTTAGTCTCACACACGTATACGCACAGTGTGCGGCAAGAAGACAGCGAATCAGAGCAGACCTCCTTCCCTCTCCCCTTTACCCCCCTCCTCTCCCCACCGCAGAATGCCAAACACAAACAGATCTCAGTAGTTTGGACTAGAAGGGGGGCTTGTGAGAACAGCGCTTCTTCACCACAGACAAAGCATACGATAATCACCCAACCCTCCTCTCCCAGACCCACGGCGATGTCATCAACAAATAGAGTGCTTGTTATAAACCGATCCTTCACAGACTCAGCGCAAGCTGATCAATCACCAATTTCCCCAATTACCCCAATTACACGTTTCCCTCGCTCCGTGAAGCTCCCCTCCATGCCCCCTTCCACCCTCCCCAAACCCCCAACCCTCCAAATCACAGTCTCCACTAATCCCTCCCTCCACCCCCCTCTCCCCCGGTCCTGTTCATAAAAGGTTGCCTAGCTGCTTCTGAAACCCTTGTTCCGACCGATAGATCCACCAATCCGACGGCGCTGAATTAGCAATACATGAGAGAGAGGAGAGATTGGGGGAGGAAGGGAGAGACACAGAAAGGGAGAAAGAGGGAGAGAGAGGGAGAGAGAGAGAGAGGGCCCTTCACTCTCTTACCCCGTCGCCCCCCTTGTCAGAACTTCATGGCTTTGCTCCGATCGTCCGATACCCCCTCCCCCTCCCCGAGCACACCTTCCACACCTTTGTTCCCGCTCGTTCTCTTCACCAACTCTTCCCCTCCAACAAATGACGACGCCTTTCACTATCGAGTTCCCCCTCCGCCTCCTTCGCCTGCATACGCCCGCCCTCTTTCCCGCTTCTTGGCCTCCCTCCGCGGCGGCCAAAGAGAGAGTCCAAACACTTAGCAGAAACTTAGAAAATACTGCGAAGATACTGAGAAGATACTGAGAAGATTCTGTTACGGTACTGACAAGATGATGCCTTTCGTTGTCGATCTTGACATACCGAGAAGATGAGAAAATGATATGATGGTGGTTCCTTCACTATGGATCAGTAAGTATGACAGTGCGGATTGCTATACAGAGGGGACCAGTTTATCTTTTCCGAACATTCGTTCGTCGATCGTCTTTCCCCGAGTGGAACGTACGGTCATTATGGCTGTATCAGGCTGGAAGTTGCACCAAATGCAGCTTTAGCGCCTGAACGTTCTATTAGGGGGAAGATGGTACTAAGTTTAATTCATCAGTCGACCAACCGAGAAATCGACCAAACCGATTGCGCTGAAGAGCGCTCCCGCGAGTTTTCCAGTCCAGTCCTCCTCTGCTTTCCGCATACAATGACCGACAATGATGAATGCAGCAGAGGAGCTAACGACATTCGGTTCCGCAAATAACGCGGTAGGTTACAACGACGGCGTCCCCTGACGTGTACTCCTTCCACAGAATCCAGCTGCAATGGCGGCCAGGTACATTCCAAAGACCTCCAAGAGTCAAATCGCCCAAGAAACGCGCCCTCAGACCTCGACAGACATTGATTCGTCAACCACGTGGAATCGACATGAGCGGCAGCAGTGCGTACGTGACGATCCGGCCGAGCGCGCCAAACAAGTGTGAAAGCGCACCAATAATATAAAGAAGACAGACCAGAGAAGAGTCGATCGGTGTCCCGAGAAAACCGAGGGTAGTCGTAAGAAAAGTAAGCATCGTATTCCCACAGTAAAAAAACAGAAAAACAAAAAAAAACATAACGCCCTTTTACGACTCTACCTGGCCAGGATATGGCCGGCACGCATTCATAATTCATAATGCTAGGGAGGTTATTTGAGGGACTAAGGTTCTATAGCAGCTGGTACTCTGTGTCTAGGAGGACGAGCACACGGCTCCAGCCACCTGTGAGCACTTCCATGAGCTGCCACTTCGGGGTTGCGAGCAGCGAATGGATCTGCACCGACAGTGACCTGCAAAGCACTGCCCGCTCCAACACCACACATCCCAACCTCTTTTATTCCCTTCATCCAACCACACCCCCCCCCCCACCGCCGTGAGAAGTGATCCCGAAACACACATCAATCGGGGACCCGACGGCCAGTTACGAACGACGAGAGTTTGCAAGCCTGAAGATTCGCAGAAAGGGAAGCAACAAAACCACAAAACAAACACGGAAGACCAGAGAGAAAGGAACCAAACAACCAAAACAACCAATCAATCACTCAAACAAGCATCCATTCAACCTATCAATCATAAGCACCTTCAGGACAACATACTTGTGAAGCCCTCATAGAAGACCAATTCAACAGCTGGCACGCAATTCCGCCAAGCGATCCGATAATAGTTTGGCGCCCTACCAAAACTCCTGTGATTGAATGTGATTGGCTGTGATTGGCTGTGACAATTGGCGGTGATTGGATGTGATAAGCTGTGATTGGCTGTGATTGGCTGTGATTCGTTGGTATGTTGCGCCGTTATTTTTCGCTCCCTCTTTTTTTGTTCTCGCATCATACCCCACCTTTCTCCCATCATATAGCCCACCTTACCGCAACTGACACATTTTCTACACGAACACAAGCACCACAGTAAACGACAAAACAAGCCTCTTATGATGGGAAAGGCGCCGAAGCGGCGGGGGTCCCATCAATGAATGATCCACTCACTCACAAGTAGCCTCCCTCGAATTGCGGCGGCGGAATATTTTCACCCGTGTAATGCGCCACCAGCGTATCAAAACAATAAACAGCCATCTCCTTGCAGGCACCCACCATTGCTTCCCTTCTTTCCTCCCTCCCTCCCTCCCTCCCTCCCTCCCCCCCTCCCTCCCTCCCTGCCTTCCTCCCCCCCCTCCCTCCCTTTCCCCGCTCCCTCGTACTCTCCGGGTCTCAGACCAATCACGGCCTCGAAGACAACGGTTGCAATCCGGACAGCAGCAACCTCAGCCCAAGCTGCGATGAAGAATTGCTAAAGAAGAAGAAGACGAAGATTGAAATAGGCGCTCCCACCAATGACGGCCTCGAAGACGGCGGTTGCAATCAGAACAGTGCCACCTCAGCGGAAACCGCGATCTAGAATCGCTAAAGAAGAAGAAGAAGAGGAAGAAGATCACGAAGATAGAAATAGGCGCGCCCACCAATCACGGCCGCGAAGACAACGGTGGCAATCAGGACAGCAGCAACCTCAGCGGAAGGCGCTCTGTAGAATCGCTCAAGAAGATGAAGATATAAATAGGCGCTCCCACCAATCACGGCCTCAAAGACAACGGTTACAATCACGACAGCAGCGACCTCAGCGGAATCCGCGATGCAGGATCACTAGACAAGGAAGAGAAGGAGGAGGAGAAGAAGAGAGGGAGAAGAAGAAGAAGAAATAGGCGTCGGAGACCGAAAAAGCAGCGGGGACGATAGAATCAGCTAATAAGACAAATAAGAAAAAGAAAGAAAGAAATAGGTGGAGGGGCAAAAGACATTGAAAACGAGACAAGGGAGAGAACAGTGGAGTGGACCGGCGGCGACTGGACGGGGGGAGGGAAGGGGAAAGATCCAAATCCCTCAGAAGAGGTTAGGAAACAGGAGAAAGCAAATGAAATAACGACTGCCGCTCTGTGCTTTTGATGCAGTCGCACCTCTGAAAAGGCTGAAGATGAAGAGAGAGCGAACACGATCTTCTCGCTGATGATGATGATGATGATGATGACGGTGATGAAGATGATAATGATACGATTGAATGATTATGACAAGGATAACGATGATGATGATGGTAGCAACGATGCCGCGAGGAGACACCGGGAACCACGAACTCAGAAATCGGCCGGTTGTTCGAATGTCTTGCCGCTGATCCCAGTTCCCGCCTTCCGCCGACAGCTGTGGCGGCTTACATGGAATCCCCGACTCCTGCCTCCCACCTCCGTTGTGCGCTATTCAAATGAAAAGCACCTACTGCTCCCTCCCTCCTCACCCTTATGCCACCCTCCTCTTCCCTCCCTTTCTTTAGGGGGGAAGAGAATAGAGCATGCACGCCACGACAAACCACGACAGCGCTACAACGATATCGAAAGCGGCTTTAAGGCTATTCTGTGGGTGAAATTGAAGGAAATTGCACGACCGATTTGATGATTGCTGATTGTCCGATCTGCTTCCAAGAGAGATTGCGCGAGGCGGGAGAAGAGAGTTGAACAAGTGGAGACAGCAAAAGTAGGCCCCGCCTCGGCACAGAAGAGAAGCACCTAGCCGCCTCAAGAAACCGCACGGTCTGAACAACAACCCACAGATCGGGACACGTGGCGACAACTCGGGGGGAATGCGAACCAGTCCGGACTCCCGAAGACGGGAGCGCCGAGGCGACAAACAAGCAAACACATGCGCAACTAGCGCAAGCAGATTATTTATACGACGAATACATCGTCTCCCGCGCTACCATGGCTCCCCGCCTTCGCGAGTCGGCAAAACCATTTTTTTGAAAAAAGGGAGAAGGGCGACAGCCTTGACTCGTGATTGTGTTTCCTTTTTTTTTCTTTTTTTGGTTTGTTGGCTACGCCAAGTGTTGTCGGGCATAGTCACGGGGCCAAGTCCCAATAGCAGCGTGGAGCTACCTCAACGCCTGTATCTGGACGCTTTTGCGGAGATATGCAGAAATGCTGTTGAGTTTCCTGAACTGCACGTCTCCACAAACACGTCCAGATTCAGGCGTTGAGGTAGCTCAACGCTGCTAGGGGGGCCAGGCGTTGAGGTAGCTCAACGCTGCTAGTGGGACTTGGCCCCCGCTTACCTAAGCTGGGTAATGGTCCCGGCACAGAGTCGAGCTGTGAGAATTCCCCGGCCTCATGTTATATGAACAAGGATCCGCTTTTTCCCGAAGAAAAAAAAAAACTTGTGATTGTGGAGTGACCGGCCCGCCGAGCTGTGGAGCTGTTATTGCGGAGATGACATTCGGAGGGCCTCCAACGCATGTCTATTCAACAGTTCATGGGTGCCGAGACACCCACAAGAACGGGGGATATGCGAAAGGGAGAAGGGACCGGCGTTATTTGCAGGTTTGTTTGGCTTTTCAGGCCGTGAGGCTTTGGGCCTCGCTCCACTACTCCCCCAATGTGCAAAACGAATCTTTCCCTAGAACATAGAAAGATGCACCGCGACGGGGATTGGGGAGGCGCCGCCCGGCGCGCTTCCGCGGGCGCTAATTCGAAGCGCTCGGACCAAGCGGGGGCCGCCGGTAACTGTAGGCGCAACTGGCCGCGGGCCCTACCAGCGCGATAGGACCACGGTGGGAGCAGCGTTCGATAACACCCGCGCTGTCGGGGGTTGTAGCTTTAGCTATGGAGGACGCCGCTGCAGCTGCCCGGGATTCCCCCTTACAGAGGAAGACGACGTCTGGGAAGGAACACGCTACAGAGTGAGGAGAAGAAACAGATAGTAGCAGGAACTGGTAGACAGCGGTGATAAGTTTGACGCAAGCACTATTTCTGGGGAGGAGTCAACGGGAACAGAAGTAACGAGGCTACGCTCAGGAGGTAGCGAATGGAAGTCCCTATGGCGGAGGGGGGTCGTTCCCCTCCCCAGCGCCGGAGTAGCCATTGGACAAAGATGTCGACTGCATAAGGGAACCAGCAAGATTGTGCTATGATGAAGGAATCGTGCCTGCTTCGATAGACCCAGGGGAAATGATGATTAGTGGAAGGGAGGTGACCTTCAGAGTTAACGAGAGAATCGGCCGGACAAAGGTAGCATGGTTGAAGGAACATACTGTCACAGTTATCTTCCGTGAAGGAGCTCAGTTCTTATCGAAGAAGCTGAAAGATGATGTGGTGAGAGCCTACGAAGACGAGAGAATCCAGAATGGGAGCTTTGAATCTAGAATGGGAGCTTCGAAGCAGAAGGCTTCAGAAGAGGGAGAGCGAAAATGGAAAGCCTCGTACATATTATTATTATTATTATTATTATTATTATTATTATTATTATTACTACAAGTGGACCCCGCCACGACGCAGAGCAACACTCGTTGCTGGCGACTTCTTTTCTTTTCTTTTCTTCTTCCCCCGATTTGGACCAAATCTCGATTCATGCATGTCATTGATAGATTGCAGAAATGGTATTGAATCATCATTCCTTGCCATGAATTTGTTTTTCTTTTTTTCCAAAAAATTGACAAAAATTACGAATTATGTGATGTGGTCCTCAACTGCATGAATGAAATTTCTGCTATGATTTCCTTTTTCTTTTTTTTTTTCCCCCGAAAATGGCAAATTCTGAGTGTCGTAATCCATCTTTTTTTTTTTTTCATTTTTCCTCCCTCATCCATCTTGATCGAGACTATATGCTTCTCCTTCTCCTTCAAATCTCGATGGCACCTGTCAACCATGTCTTCTTTCGTCCTCCTCCTTCCTGTCGGGCCTTCCC